TAAATAAAATTGAATTGAATAGTTACCAAGGTCCCCCACACCAGACTTCTCCTCTGAGTGCTAAAAGGCATTAACCAGAGATACTGTCCCCAAACTGAACCAACCTCACTGTCAACATTTCTGTTGCTATGTTCTTTCTGAACTGTCATAACTGAGGCGAAAGCAAGGACAAACCTTCTTATACTGTCAGCTTTTTTGTTCCTGGCTGCATGCAACTCCCTCCAAATGAAAAAAGAGGAGCGAGAGAGACAGAGCACTCTGGTTGCTCCCACCGGTGAGATAATCACCCAACAGATCTCTTTTATCTGCCGTCTCCACATGGGAGGGCTTCTGTCCCCAGCTCCTCTCACTACGCCCAGGATGTTTTGTGCTGATGCGAGCGAGAGGCAAACAGAAAAGCAGTCACGCTTTCCTGTCGCATCGCCCCTACATGCGCTGCGTGTGTCTTGACAAGGAGCTTCAGGAGACAAATATATCCAGCTGTCAACCAAAGGCTAACACCCTGCACCTCAGTTACTCCCTGTCTCTCCCTGTGCTGTTTTACTGCTGCAGTTGTGGGTGTCTCTCCTCGTAGATTTCTTAAAAACAGGAAAGGTTAAAAAACAGGTTTGCAAACATGAAAAAGTGTGACTGAGCAAGCACGCGCAAACTGCAGCTTTTAAACTTAAAGCAGAAGGACGGGACAAAGAAAGGAAGAAGCAACCTTGAGCGCACAGCATTTAGTGGCAGCCTCCAACCAGACACTCCACTGTTTACCGCTGGCAGTAATGACTTCTGTTAACTCTCATTTATATGGAGTCCTTCTCTGGATGGAGGAGTAAACAGATGTCACTGGCAACTTGCTTCCTGAATGATTTGAATTTATTTAACAGGGCAAGTTGTAGCTGGCAAAACGATATCTAATGGGGATTTGATTTCAATCTTTGCTAGAGTGAGAGATTCATAATGAATGCTAAATAAATGTGGTCTGGACATTAAGGCAGTGGTGCGCCTTTCAACTCTTAAGTCTCCCCTGATTCCTTGTGCTCTGTGTTGGTCTGAGTGCTGAGAGAAAACCGGAGACTGTGCGTTAATCATTAGAACAACCAGGGAACGGGTGTCAAATGTGACAGCCTCTTGCTATTTTCCTGCTGTCCCCCTCTTTTTCTTTCTGCTCCTTTAACACTTCAAACTTTTTTTCTTTGCATCTAATCATCACTGCCCCCCACCAACCCACCCAAGTCAGGGTGGGTTGGCTGGAGCCATAGAAGCTGAAGGTGTTGTTCTTAGGCTGTTAAGTAAATCACCACTGTTTGTGTTCTATGTCGCTCTCCGGCTGATTATTATCCCAGTTCTGCCCCCCTGCGCCATTAATGCCCCCACCGCCTTCACGCCCGCCCCCACCCCTTCCCATTTTGTTCTCATGCCACACTGACAGAAGGGTTAATTGCCGGTGGAGAATTAACTCCTTCCACACTAAATCAAACATTAACCTGGAGCCTGTGGAGTGCCTGTCATTGAAACAGATGGAAGAGGCAGGTTTGCATTTACCCCCACACACTCACACACACATCCTGAGGCTCTGCACAACTGACGTGGTATTTAGCATGCGCCTATGACATCACCCTGCCTTCCCCACTTACAGGGATGGATGACACTGCACTGATAGGATGGGGGTGGGCTGGGGACACAGTATCCCTCGGGCTCCCCTGAAAGAAATTTGTTGTCTCGAGTTTCCATGAGGGCCTTGCATGTGTGTGTGTGTGCGTGTGTACAATGACAGTGCGTCTCCAGATGTGACCTCTGCCATCAGGCATCAGGGTGTGTCGTCCACAAAAGCCACCCTCCCATTAGGTCCCACTCAGCACACGCACACACCTTCAAAGTGTTTTCACAGGTGTGTGCTCAGAGTAAAAGCAACCACATCTCCATGACATGATAAACAGGGCCTTTGCATGAGAACATATATAT